AACCAGCTACAGTCAACAAGTTAAAAAGCAACAAAATATCAGAAATTCTGTATCAGCAATCACAGTGATAATCGACCCGATACTTGCGAAGGACGCTACTCAGCCAAGCACATAGCTTGTAATTCAGATGTTCGTACGAAAATATATTAGAATTCCATACACCCCTAAAAGACCAAAGTTTCACGAATCAATATACCAACATTAGCCACCGAGCACAAACCAGTGAATAAGCACAACATATCCACACAGAAAGCAAGACGATTACGAGCTACTGGAAGTGAAAGAAACAAGTAGCTGAACCTCGGAGGCCGCTAGGCGTTGAGCGAAGCTTCTAGTGGATAGCTCGCCGACTTCACGTCTCCAGACGTCGACGACCGCCGTGCCGATATTCGCGTTCGATCTCCTTCCGATAGTCATTGAATCTCTAACCCTATAAAATAATTCTACCCAATTCCACCGACAAAAAAGCGCAGTAAAATCAAACAATTGGAAACAAGTCAATCATTTGTCTCTCAACCCAAATACAGTCGATAAATTGACCGGAAAAATGTGTAAATCAATCTGGAGACTGCGTACTGCATGTGAAAATACCGATAGATAGATAGAAGCTCCGGTCGCCGGAGGAAGGAGTTCAATACGGGATTTATGGTATTGAAGCATGGACGGCTCGGGTCGGCATTTCATATTTCAATTTTTTTTTTCTCAAATCTTTAATTTTAGAAAAGGAAAATAAAATCAAGCCCATCTATAAAGGCACAGGAAATAAAGTTTAGTTTTATTTCACACTGGGCTTTCATAAAGGGACTACACTCCAATTCTATAAAGTGATCTCCAATGCTACATTGTGTTTGCAAAAATGTTGATAAGAAATTAAAGGGTATATAATGATTCATATTTGTTAAACCAAATTGACCACTCATGAGTTCGACAGATGAAGCTTGTTACAAAATTGACCGCTCATTAACCTCGAAAATATAATATTTTATATAATTTTTTGTAACTTAGTTTGATTCGATAAAGACTTGAGTTTGAGTTTACATATCAAGAGTTTGAGCTCGATTCGCATCGTTTTTACTTCTAATTAAGGGCGACATTTGACATAACAATTTTCCTTAAAAACTGACATATTTGGTGAAATTCTCAATATTACATGTCTTTGTGGTATTACTTCAAGGCCTACTTACAAAACAAAATATTAATTTTCGCGGTTTGACAATTTATTTCAAACTTTGAACAAAAAAAGAGTTGGAAAAATTTAGCAGTAAGGACACAATCTTTCATTTGCAATTTCACTTACAAAAAAAACTGATATTATATTATGAAGAATTATAGTTGCTTTATTATGAAGAATTACAGTTGTAGTGCTTAAAAATGGAGCGGATTTAGTGCTACAAATGAGTTGAGTCGAATCGAGCATTGACCTTATCGAGCAAGATTGATTTGCTTTTTTATTTGCTCGAGCTCGAGCTCGATTTATAACGCTCGAGATCGACGCGACAAAAGAAGACAATCGCTCGAGATCGATTGAAATCAAAATGCTCGACAGATTGTTCAAGCTCACTCGAGTTCGACTTGAATTTCAAGTAAAATTACCATGAAGTACATATATAAAATATTGTCCTATTTATATATACGGTGTATTTTAGTAATTCACTATATATTTCGATCAGCTCGCGAGCTGCTCGACCTTTCAAAACTTATATTCGAGATCGACTTGATAACATGCTCGAGTCGCTCGAGCTTGCCTCGAGTTCGATCAAATTCGAGCTCGAGCCGAGCTTTGACCCGAGCTCGCGAGTCACTCGATTCGTTTGCAGTCTAAGAGTATCTCCAATGGAAATTCCATTGCTCCATTTTATTGTCCCATGGCACAAATAATCTTATGTGGCATGTCTAGAAATCTTTCTATATATAAAATTCATTCTAAATAACTTCTATTATATATTATATATTATATTATCTATTCAACTTATGTCTTTCTCCAACCAATTACAGCTTACATATCACATTCACAAATGACTATCACAAAATGGACAATGAACTTCGAATTTATTTCCATGGACATAAATGTATTACACTTCTGTCATCCACTTTTATCTACTACACACACAAGAGATTGTGCGACCATCAATGATGATCAGAAATCCCGTTCTTCGGCTCCAAGCGCCACCACTTTCCGCCAGTTCCCGGCGGTATACGCCGCAATGTGGCCTGACCCAACAAGGTCACCGGTTTCTGTCCGCCGTCGCCGTCACGTCCAAGGAGCCTTCAGCGACCTCTGGCTTGCTTCGCAGATTCGTAGCCTCGTCGTCCCGCTACGTAACCCTAACCACCCTCCTCCATATAATCTCTCCTTCCTGCTCCATTCCTCATCTCTCCTTTATCGCATTTCCTGTAAGTGTATCTCAGTCTACATTCGTACCTGTAAGTGAAAATTTGTTGAGGCAATTTCTCAAACAGTTTATGTGCTTTTGCAGCTGTACTCGATGATCGAACAAAAGTCCTGGTTCCGGTGGAACACCAAGGTAGTGGCGGATCTGATTGCTTTCTTACACAAAGAAGGAAGGTTTGATGAGGCTGAAAAACTGTTTGATGGAATAGTTTCGAAATTAGGGTTTGATGATGCGGAAAAATTGTCTGATGGATTGGCTTTGAATTTAGGGTTCCATAAAGAAAAGGAACTATACACGTTTTACATCAATTTAATCACTGCCTACGCTGTTCACAAGCACGAAAGGGGGTGTTTGGATGCGTGCGAACAGTTAAAGCAGCTGATTTTGTCTTCCTCATCTGTTCACTTGAAGAAGAAAGGATACTTGTCGATGATTTTAGGGTTGTGTGAAATTGGATTGCCGTATAAAGCCGAGATTTTGATGGATGAAATGAGAGAAAATGGGATAACAGTATCTTCTTACGAGATGAAATCTGTCGTGTACGGTTACGGGCAGAATGGATTTCTCGAGGATATGAAGAGGGTTGTTGGTCAGATGGAAAACGAGGGATTCGAGCTCGATACGATTTGTTTTAATATGGTGCTTTCATCTTTCGGAGCAAACAACAAGCTTCACGATATGCTCGTGTGGTTGAAGAAAATGAGGGATCTAAATGTACCTCTCTCGGTTAGAACGTATAATTCTGTCTTGAATTCTTGCCCGAGAATTAACTCGTTGGTGATAGATGCAAAGAATTGGCCTCTATCAATTGATGAGCTGTCGCGTAGTTTGGAATCTGACGAGGAGGTGAATTTGGTGATGGAATTGATGAAAACGAGTGTTTTGGATGAGGCCATGGTGTGGAATGAAAATGAGTCGAGAGTGGATTTGCACGGGATGCATCTGGCGAGTGCATATTTGATTTTGCTACAGTGGTTTAACGAGTCGAGAGTAAGGTTCGATTGTGGGAATTATGGGACCCCAAAGAAGATTTCGATTGTTTGTGGGCGAGGGAAGAATAGTCCTAGACAAGGGGATTCACCTGTGAAAAAATTAGCTAAAGAAATGGTTGTGAGGATGAAATGCCCTTTGATAATTGATAAGAAGAATAGTGGATGTTTTATTGGCAAAGGGATAGTGTTTAGGAAGTGGCTACTGGATACAGCATGAGGATGCTGACAATTTTGCGTTGTGCAAAACTGAAGAAATCAAAATAGCCACTCTATTATATTATGCCTCTACATCTTTTAATAGTCGTCTTTTTCAAGGGTGAAAATAATGTCTGGAAATAACCATTTCAGTACAGGTTTTCAATATGAAATGGTCGTCCCGCAACCAAAAAATGAAAAATGAATATAAGTTAATTTTTTATTTTTTCTTGTCTCACCGGATAATTTTATTTACTCTTCCTTTTTCTTCTCCTTAATTTTATCAACTATTAAATTATAAAAAATAACCATTACTATACTTTTTTGGTAAAATTTGCCATTCATCAATTAACATTTCTGACTACCAGATATATACATTTATTATTTCACTATTTTCTATCAAATAAACATTTTGCCTTGTACCCGTTTACATTTTAAAAAATCAAGCAAAAATAATAATCATGATAATAATAACAATAATAACCCACCTTTTCCATTGGAACATTTTTTTTTTTTCAAAATAATCTATATCCAGGTGCATCTGAATTATTTATTTATTTAAAAATAAACAAAAATAACTGGACAAAAATAAAAAAATAAAAAATCAGGGTGGAAATAAATCAAACACACGTATTCTGAAAATACGTTTTTAGTTATAAAACGTATTTTAACAATACGTTTTAAAAATAAACCGTATTCCTGAAATACGGTTTCAGTTAATATGATTAATTAAGATAATTACCTTGATATAAAACGTATACCGTGAATACGTTTTTATTTATAAAAAATTAATACGTATTTTCGAAATACGTGTTATAATTAAAATTAATTTTATAATTATTTTCGAGTTATAAAACGTATTTTCACAATACGTATTTTAAATGAAATGAACTTTTAGAATTTTGAAAATACAATTTTGATGGACAAAATAATATAAAACATAAAACGTATTTCCGAAATACGTTTTGTGTACAATTTTTCCCCCAAATTCAATTTTGCCCCAATTCAATTTTGCCCTAAATTGATTCATATATAAACGTATTCTGAAAATACGTTTTATAAACAAAAAAATAAAAAACGTATTCCTAGAATACGTTTTAAACTGCAGAAAAAACAAAATTTTTGAATCCATTTGAAGAAACCAACCTGTTCAACCAACATACACATATCAATCAACGCAACATACACATATCAATCAACCCAACATACACATATCAATCAACGCAACATACACATATCAATCAACCCAACATACACATATCAATCAACCCAACATATAAAAGAAGATGAAAAACAATAATTTATAAAAGAAACACTATATATAAAAAGATCAAAATACGGTTTACACACGAATATGTCCACAAATTTCAATACATAAGACACAAACTAACTATGAAGATGAAGGAGTGAACGGTTGCCTAGGTTTGCGCAGTCGTTCCCCCCTCCAGAGCTCTACGAGAGGCGTGTCATCATCAAAATCATCAAAATCCTCCGGAGCGCAGTCGTTCCCCCCTCCTTCGTCCGCTTCAACTGAGTAATGCATTTAGTAAAAAAAATCACAAACTCGACTTTAGGAAAAAATAAAAAAAAATTAAAAAACCCCAAAAAATAAAATTTTGTTAAGTAAATAGATCTTACATTGTTCAAGGCCGAGGTTCTGAGATTGGAGGTGCTGGGGGGAGGGTGGATTGGTTGGGCGTTGTTCATTTTCGCGGTTATGGGCCCGAGGTCTTCTACCCCCACCAATGTTGGCAGCGGGTCGATGCCTCGCGGTGTGGGACTGTGTCCTCTGGGATGGAATGTAGTCGTCCTGGGATAGAACTTGACTTGACGACGCCCCTTGTGTAGGACCTCGGCCTCCAACAGTCAGGGAAGTGTATGCAAAGTTGAAGGACTGTTGGAATGCGGATTGTGCCTCTGGAGGGAATGTAGGCATTAAGTGTTGAATACTCGATAAGGAGTTATAAACCCCCTCCAGGCCAGAAGTCTGAAAATAAAATTCAAAGTAATTAGTATGAAACAACATAAATAAAAAAAAATAATAATAATAATAATAATAATAATAATAAAACGACAAATTATTATGAACACTTACCTCGCACCCTAACCGCTCGGCAAATGGCTGATAGCCGCCGGATTGTTGGAACACAGCGTAATTGCCAGGGTTACTGATGAGTCTCACAGTCCTACTGTGAAACCAATCGAGGTAACCCTGCTCTGGCTGCAGGAAATCATACGCAGGGGCAATTGGGATGAGATGTAGTTCTCTTTCATCGGCCCATGCCTTCGTAAGCGGTGAATGAAAGAGGGCCCAATCACCGAATGCCCGCCCAGTCATTCCTTGGCCGGCGTGGTGTCTGGCCCAGTCTTGCTCACCCGTAATGATTGGATTTTGGGGGATGGACTGACGACACCCAAATTGCCGCATGACCCTATCAGGCAAGTGTAGCTCACGGCTGCTCCAACAAAACATCCACCCCCGGTACAGCCAAAATTGTTTATCTTCTGTACACTCACTCGGGAGAATACCAGCATCCAGATACTGTTCATAGGGCAGCCAATCGAACTGTAAAAAAAAAAAAATAAATAAAAAATAAAAAATTAATTAGGAATTACGTTATAAAAATTAAAAACAAAAAATAAGGATAAATAAAACAATAAGAATTAAGAATCTTACGTCCGTCTCTTCCAGCCCTGTCAACTGATCCCGGATAGGACCCGTTCCTTTGCCTACATGTGTCAAATCTTTTTTTCCCACCCACCTTCAAAATCACATAAAAAAAAAAAGAAAAAATAAAACTTTGTAAGAAACTAATATTGATAATGGAAATACCCTACGTATAAAATATAAATAAATGTTATTACCTTGCACCTAAGGGGCAACCACTGATTATGTCAAACTGCGTTTTCTTGGACTTCATTTTTGGGCGAATACGAGGGATACGCTCCCACGCCCAAACCTACACATGTTGACATATGAATTTGTTATTAAATATTAGTAGTCTAACTTAGAATAAAAAAAATATTATTTTTCAAAGAAGAATCAAATAATTTTTCCCTATTGTAAGAAACTAATATTGTAAGAAACTAATATTAATACGTATTACCTGAATCAATTGTACACAGCTCTTGATCCACCATTGACCTTCCTTGCAAGAGGTGCACAGCGCTCTATATACTGCCGTCAAGAGCGCTGAACCCCAGCTGTACCCCTTTATTCCATCAATGTCCTCCAGCAGCTGTAGCCAGTAAAGATTCACGCCATTCGCCCGTTGGTCCGGGAAGAAGAAGGAGCCAAGGCACCACAGGATAAGGGCCCTCGCCCTCTGCTCGTAGCGGCTGTCTGGAAGTCCATCTCCCAGATGTGTTGAGCATTCCCTTTCTAACTCCAAACCCTTCAAAAATTGGCCTTTAATGGTCCAATTAGCGGAATCAAGCGCCGCTTCCTCTTCTTGGGTGGTGGGGGCATCCTGCGAGTGATTTTTTATAAGGTTAAAAAAAATATATATATAAAAAAATATATATATATAGAAAAAAATATACCTCGACATAGGGTTGAAACCCTAACAAATCCTTGCACCTATCACGCCATGCTTGGGGTGTTTTATCCTCCGTCACTCCCAAACAAGCAGTTCCATTGACGGGCAGACCGAAGAGCACCTGTACATCCTGGAGGGTGATCGTGGCCTCCCCGAAATCGAAATGGAAGGTGTGCGTCTCCGGTCGCCACCTTTCCACTAGACCGGTAATGACGGCGTTGTCGGTTTGGACTCGACCCATTCGCAACAAGGGCCCAAAACCAGTCCGGTCGATCACCTCCCAAACCGACGGATGCTGTTGTGGCAAAGCCTTCCATAACTGAGTGTCGTAGCGACGGTTTTTAATCGTGTCGCTACGATATCCCGGTTTATCTTCGAAAACCGCCCGTGATCGGTGGCAGTACTGAAGATATAACAAACTCGAATCCCTCGGACCAGGATGTACACTGTATCGCTGAGGCTGCGACGACGACGAAGATGAAGCCATTATCTACAATTACAAAAAAAAAAATAGATACACAATAAATTATATATGTATGTACAATTCCAAGAAGAAATAAAATTAGTGGTTAAACTATAATTTTAAACAATAACCAATCAAACGATTTGATTTACTCTATTTATTTATATGATTTAATTGTGTTTTGTTTGAATGTATGAAATAACATAAATTAGTAACAACATATATTTGTTTATTTTCGTCATTTGTAGAATCTAATAATTATTACTTTTATGATTTTATACATATTAAACAAATAATAAAACTAAAAATAATTACACTATCTTTAATCCTATAATTTAGAATATTTATATATAGGTATATGTTATAAACATTTATTAAAGGAAAATAAATAAAATTTCTTTAGAGAAAAAATTTTTTTTTTTACGATTTACCGTTTTTCTACCTATCCTTAACGAGCATTTTAAAATAAACAAACTGTAATCCACGAAAATTGAATTTTCTACCTATCATTAACATGCATTTAGATTTAATCGAAGCCCTAAATTGACAAAAGCCCCAAATCGATCACCCCAACACTAACCCTAACCCTAACACTAATCCACCAAAATTGACAAAAGCCCCAATTCTATTATCAACTAACCCTAACCTTAGTCCACCAAAATTGAAACAACATATATAATTCAGACAACCCTAAATGAACAAATATATATACAAACAACCCAAAATTAAAACACACATTCAATTTTCGAAAAAACAAAACTAATGAACAAATTAACAAATTGAAATACACAAAACTTACATGTCTAATGGAATGGCAGCTGAAGTGCGGCGGCAAGCGACGGCGGCGGCGGTGAAATTTTTTTTTTCCGATGTCTCTCGCTCTCTCGATCGCTCTCTGTACTCTGTACTCTCTCTGTGCTGTTCGCGTAAGAAAGAAAGAAAGAAGGAAGAAGAAAGTACTTATATTTAATTCAAAACCGTATTCTCGGAATACGTTTTCCATTTGGCATTATTTATAAGCCGTATTCTCAGAATACGTTTTATATTTAAATCCTAGATATAAAACGTATTCCTGAAATACGTTTTATAAATATTAAAAAAATAGAACGAGGTTCCCAGATTCGAGACTCGAACCCGGGTTCGGGTGAGTCCATTGTCTCTGGGGGCGTCTCATTACCATTGGGCCGCACTAAGCTATCGCTGAATAACTTGCGCAACATTTATTCTTATTCTTCA